CACATGGGTTTCATGCTAAGTCCGCCTTATGTCTAACTTATTATTCTTCCTTCCTAGATGAATGAGGTTGTACGGCAGGGAAGTATCAATTCATATGGTTGATGTGCTATAATGGTTAATGACGATGGTGAACGAGTATGGTCGATGGCAATCGTTGTTAGAACAGCCTTTCATCTTGACACAGTGGAGACAGGGACTTGGGATCGGACAGAAGGACCTTATTCGGGTTGTGCTGCTTCAAGAACAACTCCGGACTAACAGGCATACCGCCCCCATCCTCATACTCATAGTAAAGCGAAAGGGAATAAGAATTTGAAGTATGGTGATCAGTGCGACCATTGATTCTGCGCTAACCCACAGTTGGCAGGGCACATAGAGTCACAGCATTGCTCGGAGAGATTGTGTACACAACGTCCTCCCCGTTGGCACACGCACAGTTTACCGACTTCAGTCCCATGAGCGCCAAGTGACCCCGATTCGCGTACACATATCACTATGGGGTGGTGAAATATTCGTCATGGAGGAAACGAGGCTACGGACAGGGTTTAGGCCGTTACACAATGAAGTTGATCGTGAGAGTCCAGACATTGAAAATGCCGTGCTTTTAAAGATAAGTAGTTTACACCCGCAGGCCGTATTGAGGAGAACATCGCAAGTACACATCCACGAAGATTATGGTGCAGTACAGAGTGCACTCCAGCGCTGGTTTTGTGTTTGGCTGCACACTCCAGGTAAAGGTAGTCGGAATGAGGAATCGGGAGCGACTGATGCTTTTTCGAACACACTACTGAGCTAAATGGGCAACGCGCTTGCCATAGCATTTAAGGCCCACGACTGGGCTGGGTGGACTGTACAGTAATCAAATCAGTAATGAGTAACATCAAGAATTTGAACAAGTGTTTGGCTACCATATAACAGTGCTTCACGACAGAGCGTCTCAAGGTGTGCGAGAAACCACACCTAGCAGTGTACACATGACCTATGGGATGGTGGTCGAACTAAGACAGCCGTGCGGTGTAGCCGATACGCGTAAAGAAGCCGTATGAACCAAGGTGTGGTCTGATACGCAGTTTGCGCAGGTTCATAGGTCAGGCGCCGGCGCCGGTGCTAAACTTAGCGGAGATCGATGGGGACACGTGGAACGAAGTTCCACCAAGAATCACTTCAATGCGAGTCGCGGTCCACATTGAGATGGCGCGTCGCAATCTAAACATCCAACGAGGGCATCAAAATGATCTCTCCAAGCACATTCTCGTTCGTCAATGATGCTTAGTTGTCATACAGTCATAAGCTGCTACATAGGACCTCGGTGATAAGGGGCTTAATGACACAATACAAGACTTCTAACCGCTGTGTCAATCACTACTCACGGAGCTCAACGGCCTAGTGATCATGGTGATAGCCGTCAAGCATATGAGACGTGTTCCACTCCCAGCTCGGTTATCACTACCTGATGAGTCCAAACCAAGACGAAACCGTCGGTCGTGGGATGCAGGTATGGGAGAGAGCCACACCGAACCCATCCACTTTGGTGACGGTCCCAGTGATCGTATTGGCAGAGGTTAACTTCAAAGTCAACCGAGGCCACAAGTGAGATTGCGTGTCGATATTCAAGACACACGGCGGGAGCTCCAAAGCCCAAAAAGTAACTTCCTAACCGCTGTGTCAAGCACTGGTTGCGGAGCTCAATGGCCTAGTGCTCATGGCGATAACTGGCAAGCACTATGCGACGAGTTCCACCCCCAGCTCAGCTCGCTGATGTGTCGAAATCAGGACGAAATCGTCGGTCGTGGAATGCATGGATGGAAAAGAGTCACATGAAAACCTCCACAAGATTAAAGCACATTGAACAAACGTTCTGAGTCAAGGCGCGTACACAATGCGAATGATACACGATCACAAACAGCTGCCTATCGTGTCAGGATGATGTAGTATCTGTGATAGGAGAGTGCTATCAGAGTATAGAAACAGATAAAAGGAGGGACCAGACATCCAATGGGAGACGAACATGATGTTTCCGATCATTGGACGCTGATTGCCCGATGTCCGTGTGCGCCACCATGAGCTAAAAGAGGAACCTTAACACCCCCATAAGAGCCGTTGTCTATGGAAGCGAATGGATACTATATGTTGAGGAATACTGCGTATTAAATGGGTTAAAATTTTCTCTGGGTAGACTGTCGGATAAACGCTTGTTCTCTATTTCTGCTGCCTAGCAGGTAAACATGATGTTTCATCAACAGCACAGCTTTCCTGAGACTTTAAGCAACTCTACTTCGAACAACCCCAATGCAAGGGGAATAGACAGTTATATATATTTTGCTGAGAAACGACAACAAACACATGACATGTGTCAGTTGAGTGCTGTGATCTGCGATATCACGACGACATGCCGCATGAACACGTAGAAGAAAAATTGAAGGAACAAACAGCACTCAACCGAGTGGCAGACGAAGACATTTGCCCTAACCTGTTTGGTGGCTGTCCTCCTTGGACATAGTAGCACACCGAAACCAGAAGCAAGAAAAGGGTTCGCATAGGTGGAAGCAGAAAAGAGGACAAAACTAATCGTGTCGCAGTCGTAACTACTAGATTGAAGAGATCAGATGCGACGGCAATATCGACTGCGAAATATTGGGTTAGGGGTCTCTAACCAATGAAGTGGCCGATGTCAAAATCAGGACCGAAGAAGACGACATCTACCAGCCTGACCATGTTCTGCAATGAATTCTTCTTAATACCCAACTGCAGACCTAGCTGAGCAAATTGATGGCAAACGTTTCGTCACAAGCCGAGGTGACATCAGACGCATGGAAAGGTTGACGGTTTCCTAGTAGAAACAAGGATGGATCTACGATCTGATGATGCCACCACGACTGGTGACGACACTGCCACAAATAAATCTTGCAGCTGAGTGAAAACCGCATACAGTAAACAAGCAAACGGATCCACCAGGAGTTCGTCTAGTAGTGAACAACTGCTAGCCTCAGGTTGTCACCCAGAGATTCCACTATGTAAGCGGTGCATTAGTGAGGATGTGACTAACAGATATACGTGTAGGATCTGACTTAGACAAATTAAGCGGCTCAGATGCAATAGATACTCTAGTGCAGTGGATCTCGACCTGGAAGAATTATCCCCAAGGGAGTAAAATGTGCTCTCACGGGGAGTAAATATGGGTAGAAAGACTGGATCAACAATCGGTCGTCTAAGGAAACTAATAACAAGAATATTTGTATCAAAACATGTAACTAACCACCTAGCCCCTATTGATTATCATCCATCAGTGGCTAATCATTAGGGAGTGGTTAGTGAATTAGACAACTTCGGTAATAAATTCCATTACGAGCCTACAAGCCTGCAAAGCAGCGCAGCTACATGGCGATTCTATTGGATCACTCGTCGATCGTAGTTCTTTTGAGTCAGGCAGTCATTCGCCGGGTCGAACTACAGAGTTAAGTAAACACTGTGGGAGCATAGGTCAGTCGACCAGATAAGGGAACGAATGTCAACACGGTAGAAGAAGCAAAACAGACGAGTAGTTTACAGGACGTATCGATACAGATTGGTGCCGGCTCATAGCCTGCTTTGTAATCCAAGGGCGATTATTCTTGACAGGCAGATCTGTAGCCTAAAAGTTACGAGCTTGTCACGTAATTCGACCGCATCATTTTACTGCGGAGGCTTCGCTGGCATGGGCATGTGCTCCGCATGCCTACACAGCGGTTACCACGACGAGCGCTATTTGCGAGCACAGGTGTGGAGTGGAAGTGACGAAAAGGAGGGTAATGTAGGACTAGGATCCAATGCGTTAAGGCAAAAACGTGGAAGCTGACTGTTGTCGGACGTTCCCGTCTCCCGGATTGGGAACCAAAGGACCCCGAGCACATCTGGTTGCAAACGTTAGAGGATATGGCCGAGGGCCGTAAACAATGGCGCATTTGCTGTGAGACTCTTCTACCCTAACAGTTGTCTTTCATTTCAATCTACCTTTTTTCCTCTTATGTGTTGTGGCACTCAGCCAAATGTATTGTAATTGGTAAAGTGCAGTATATATATATATATATATATATATATATATATATATATATAAGCAGTGGTACATTCTAACAACAAATGTTTTCCTGATTCGGAAAATCAGCAATTGTTTGGGTTCCAAGACCCCTTTCAATGGATGAAGGCACAATTCCTTGGACTTCGCGAAGACAACAAACTGAAAAGTGCCCGTGTTGGGATGAGTAACACTATAAAAGATTTCTTTTTACTTACGGTCTTTAAGATCGGAATGGCCGAGGTCCACCTCAAGTGAACCGAAGCCTCAGAGGTTGCTTGTAGCAACTCAAGCACCAGCGTATTCTCCAAGTCCACCTTTGAATTCGTTTCCGCTGTATCAAGCGTTGCTCGCGGATCTTAGTGGCATAGTGCTCATGGTGTCAACCATGAGCCACTAGGCTCTGAGTTCCAGCCCAACTCAGGCTTTCTCCAACTGATGAGTCCTAACCAGGACGAAACCGCGGTCTTGGGGTGCCCGTGTTGGGATGAGCAACACTATAAAACTGAAAAGTGATTTCCAAAACACAAACATTTTGGGCAAAGATTGGTGGCGAGTAGTTATTGTTATGGGAAAAAGTCACAACTTACGGGTGTGAAGGTGGATCATTGACAATGGTAACAAAGAAAATAAAAGCAAGCGACTGAAGTAACCTGGAGCACGACTTAAGATGCGCAGTTGACGTAACCACAACAAATATCTAACCACCAAATATACCTCAAAAAGTTGAGAACCACTGCTCTAGTGAAACACCAGCGGGTCCTGGTACTGCATATCCAGTGCTATGAACAGATATGAACAACGCTCAGCGAGCACCCCTGGCCAAAGATGACCAACTTATTAGTGCTTTTAGTGCGAGGAGCGAAAACCATTGGATCAGATATAAGCGCTCAGATCTATTGGTGGTGAGTGTAAAGGACACTTGAGAGAGGAAAAATGGAGAACCCACCGGTCGTAAGCATCAATAGCCAAGTTGTACACGTATCGAGCGAGCACACAACATTCGATCAAATGTCTGGGTACTCCAACTGGCTGACTGGGAGACGCAGGCGGTTGAACAGTCACTTCGGAGGACGCGGCTTTACCGGTTGTGGAGACACAGCCAAACAATGCGGCTTCTGCCTTTTTGACACTTCGGAACAAGAATTGGAACACGTCGGAACCAACGAGATCGGGTGTATCCGTATCGACGCCGTTGTGGACGACAGAAGCTGTCTCCATTGAAGCGTTGTGCTCCTCAATACTCGTAGACTGCGTCGTGCATCGCGGAGTAAACGAACCCAACGCGATGACAGTGTGTGTCAGGTTGGAGTATTGTATCTGAGGCAAAGTAAAATGAGTCATGAGAACAAAGCGTGAAAAAAGTTTCATGAAAACGACACATCAACAGGGCAAGAAGAAAACGGAACAAGTGTAGGAGATCAGTGTTGACTGCACAGTGAATGAAATGCCAACCCAGTTCGTACCAACAGTTACGTAAACGGTGAGATCTCTAGAAGAATGAGGCTGAGTGCAGAGCAGATAGATACTTAGATACAGAAACCATGAAAGTGTACCGAAAAGATGCGCAGAAAGAAAGGGAGGAGAGACGAGAGGTGCACCTCGTTAAAGTTTCTCAGATGCAGTGTATGAAGGCCAGTATTCAAACAATGTAGAAGAACACCCGTCAAGCTTTAGAGTGCTCACACTTTTTATACGGTAATTGTGATTCACGCGGCCTTAACATCCAGTGCTAGTGGGTTATACCGAAGAAGTGAAGATTTTCGTATTAGTTCTGATAAGGCAATGACGCAATGACGCTGGAACTTACCGTGGTGCGGCTGTTTGTGCGCCTCAGCGATAATTTGAGTTATGCTAGGTGGTGCTATTTTTCCACCTACAGAGCCACTCATACCAGATTGGTCAATGGTAAGAGGAAAGATAAACTCAGCCCCCCTGGTCCTGAAGGCTGGAATAAGGTGGCTCCTTATTCCTTAAAAGGGACTCCTTGTAGCCCAACGCCAAACACTCTGCACTGCGTTCAGGTTCTTGAGCCAAAGGCTTTGTTTGGGAACAATAATCGTTCTCCTGTCCAGACTTGGGCAATCTGACAGTATCCTGCTTACGCAATACAAGGAATCTCTCTTCAAACAGTTACTTGATGCTCTGGCCGTCGCAGAGGATAATCAACGGTGCCCAATCTGCTGCATCGAGCAAGGTGGATAGGTGTTTGGATGCTAATGCTCAAGCCTAACCATCTTCTTACTTCCTCTCTTACGCTTTTTCTCTTACCGTTCCGTTCCAGATTGACTTTTATCCCCCCTGTTTTCAACCTCCCAATTCTTGGCCCTCCCCCACCTTCCTTCGCTAGACATTTATCTTCTAGTTTCAAATCACATGTGAACGCGCAGCGTCATTTCTGTCCTGGCGACAAGCCCATGTTCCACCAAACGGCCAAGCCCAGTTCATCGACTTCCAGTTGGAGCCCACAATCATCCTTTAGATTGGCATAACTCAATGTACGCACATTGATACAAATCGGTCAACAGGCAGCACCAAATATTAGAGACCGTCTCGATCGATATCTGCCGCTTATCGGAGATCCGCCTGCAAGACTCGAGCTGTATGCCCACTTTGCGATCCCCTTCAGGTGACACCAGCAGCACTTTCTCATTGCGCCAATCCATTGACAATGCAGCTTCGAGCACCGGTCAAGCCGGTGTTGGTATTGCCCTGACTCCCCGGGTTGAAGCTGCTCTGGTTGACTGGATTCCAATCAGCAGCCGGATGTGTGCGGTCCGATTGGCTAATTCGTTGAAAGTTTCGAAGTCGCGCGGGACAAACAGGTGCCTATTCGTCATCGCTGCCTATGAACCCACAAACTCTAGCAATGACTCGCTAAAAGACGACTTCTATCGCCAATTGAACGAGCTCCTTCGCCACAAAAGAAGCTCAGACACTGTTGTGCTGGCTGGGGATCTGAACGCTCAAGTTGGAAAATTATCGACTGGTGAACTGCATCTGGGCGGCCAACATGGTGCAGGCTCCCGTAATGATAACGGTGAGCGGTTACTTCATTTGTGTGAAGATGCTCGCTTATTTCTTGCGAGCACAAACTTCCGACACAGCACCCGCCGGAGGGTGACTTGGCGCCCACCAGCCTCGAACCAGACTTGGACGCAAATCGATCACATTGCGATAAGTTACCGATGGAGAGGCTGCATCCAGAACTGTCGCTCGATTTGGAGCACAGGTGTAAATACCGATCATGCACTTGTACGTGCTGACCTGCGGATGCGTTTTGGCGGACGCCCACGACGACGTTGTGAGCGCATTGACACCGGCAAACTGGCGAAACCAGCTGCTCTGAATGCTTATCAAAGAACGCTGATATGCGAGTTGAGTAAGCGCTCACTGGATGTAGTTGAAGCTCACTGGTCTCATATTCACCAGTCCATAGTAGCAGCAGGCAAATCCTCATGTGGTAAGTCTAACCGCCAATATGGACATTCGGTCTCTTCGCAGTCTCTGGAACTTATCGATGCTCGACGGCACATTCCGGATGGAAGCGAACAAAATGAAACTCGCAAGGAGCTCCGGGCAAAATTCCGTGCTAGCCTGAAGAGAGACAGCGAATCCTCGTGATCTCATCGTGCATCAGAGATGGAAATGGCCGCTGCTCTCGGGAACCATCGTAACATATTCCGGTTGATACGCGAAACGGGCAGCAGAAGACCTGGTTTTAGTGAAACTACACGTGACGAGAGTGGACAGCCTATCCACAATTGTCAAAGCGCTTAGAGCGTTGGGCTGAGCACTATGAAAGGCAATGTAATGGGTCCGAATTGTTAGGTTTCTCGCCGGCGACTGATCACCCCGCTCCCTGGGCTGTCCCTTTGGATCCACCCTCTCGCTCAGAAGTCGAACGTGAGATCGAACTGTTGAAGTTAAGTAAAGCCGCGGGAGCAGATGATCTACCTCCAACCCCCTTCAAATTCGCGGGACCTGCTCTGGTGGATGATTTATACGAGTTAGTAGTGAATCTGTGAGTGCAGGAAGCTGTCCCAACTGACTGGAGCCACTCTGTCATAATCCTAATTTTCAAGCGAGGATCACGATCGGAATGCGGCAGCCATAGAGGAATCAGTCTGATCTCCATCGCCTCCAAATTGCTTGCCTCTGTCATCCTTCACAGACTGATTGGCACTCGAGAAAGCCAGATTCGTGAAGAGCAAGCCGGATTTCGTCCAGGTCGTGGCTGCATTGACCACATCTTCACCTTGCGTCAGTTGTTGGAGCACCGTCACATATATTGGCGGACCACCGTTGTCGTGTTCCTAAATATCAAAGGTGTATTGGATACGTTGGATTGACGTGCACTTTGGGACTGTCTACTCAGGAAAGGTGTAACTGAGAAATATGTAAATATTATCCGATCATTATACGCGCGTAGCTCAGGCAGAGTAGGGGGCTTACGGCAAGCTGTCGTCGCCCTTTAATATCTCCAGCGGTGTGAAACATGGATGCCCGCTGTCACCTTTCATCTTCAACTTCGCTATTGACGAAGTCATGTAAGTCGCGTGCACAGGACACGACTTAGTAGCTGTGGATCTGCTCAGAGGAGAACGAGTTCTTGACTTCAAGTATGCTGCCGATATTGCCCTAATCTGTGAAAGCTCCCAGACGTGCCAAGCGGCACTGGACAGATTAGCACTGGCTGTCAGCCACTTCGGGCTTTGCTTCGCACCATCGAAGTGAAACGCGTTTCTCCAAGCTTGGCCTGGACCGCCTCCTTCTCTGACGCTTGGTGACGATCAGCTAGAAGTCGTTCAAAAATTCAACTACCTGGGAAGTTGTATCAGCGCCCGTGGGATTGAGGATGAGATAACGAACCGCATAGCCAAAGCTCGAAGCGCTTTTGCTAACCTTCGCCACTTATGGCGCCGGCGCGACATCACTCTCGCCCTGAAGGGTAGAGTGTACAATGCAGCGGCACGTTCGACCATTTCCGGTTATGAAACCTGGCCCCTTAGATCAGCGGACATAAAGAGATTAGTTACGTTCGATCATCGGTGCCTTCGCAATTTAGCTCACATCTGGTGGGATCACCGCGTGAGCAGCGAGCGTGTTCGACGCCTTGTTTGCGACACAGGAAAAGGAAATGAACCGCTCAACACTGTTATTTCACGTACCAGGCTCCGATGGCCCGGCCACGTGCTACGCATGCCAGCCCACCGACTTCCGCGACGTGTGTTGTTTGCGCGCCGGGGGTGTGGATGGAAGAAGAGGAGGGGTGGCCAATCGATGACTTGGTCCAGAGGAATGAAGACCCTCACTTCTGAGCTGGCCTTGGTTAGAGGTTCTTGGCATCTGGTTGGGGTCCGAAAGACGATGAACATGTTTGGCTGGATACACTTGCTGACGTGGCTAGGAGCCAACCTCAGTGGCGTTCGTGCTGTGAGTTACTTTGCCCACCCCATCCCTCTTAGCCTCCCACTCCAACCACGATCTCATTATTTTGTATGGTAAATTATTATTTTATTTCTGCTGCATAGTAGCCAGCAGGTAGCTTACGAGAATGATACCTATCCGTTACCGGTTGCTTAGCTGGGTTGCGCCTGTTGCATTTTATTCTTTTTTTCTTTTAGGTATTGAGGCAAAGTAGCTGAGGTGTTTCCCACCTCTAGATAACATGTATAGTGTGTGTGTCTGAGAAGGCAATGTTGTGTGTTATGCAGTTATAGTATTCATGAAGCGCAGATATAGACATTACGCCCTGAGATGAGAGGAGTGAATTCAGCAGCTGAGGAGAGTGCGTGACCCAAAACGAGAGTGGTGTGTGTGAGGCCACCGAGACAACAAGTTGTCACGGTAAAGTGTTTGCCTGGATAGATGGCTTGGTTCCCGGTTAAACGCAAGTCTTAAAGGCAGGGCACTAACACAGATGCTAGGGTTATGACTTGCAATCTTAAAGTGAACTTCACCGACGTCAAGGTGATCAAATGCATCGCAGAGGAGATGTAGGGAGCACAGTTACGGCGTCTAGCGTAGACGCGACATCCAAATTGCTTTATTCCGAGTAACCTCATCCATAAGTCTAAGTGTTGCTATATCCTAGTGGTTTAATAATAATTTTTAATTAATTTAATAATTAGGCATGCTAGTTGGACTAATCACGTAGTCCACCACATAAAATGATACAGATAAGCGTGATATTCAGGGTTTGATCGAAACAGGGTGGTGCCATGTCGAGATAGAGAGTTCCAACAAAACAGACTTAGGACCGATGGGGTTGCCGTGCATTGGTGGTAGATTAGTAACTCTGCAGAATAAAACAAAGA